CGGCTCAATCGAGAGGAGATGTGGCGAGAATATGAGGGATTCAATAGATTTTAAAGGTCGAGGCTAAAATCGGTTGCAAGTGCTCGAAATTTGGGGAGAACCTCTTTGTTGTTGCTGCAAGATCGTGAAGAGGGAGATATCAGAGAGGGAGAGAAGCTGAGATTTTGGGGGAAAACGTTAAGCTTAAGCTGCTGCTTTAGTTAATTCTTTGGGCCGAAATAGAAAGTGTTGGGCCCAGCTGGTTGGGTTTTGGGTTAAAACAAAGTGGCTGAAATTGGGCCGAATTTTAGTGCTTAGTACTTTTAGGCAAAATACTTAAGTTAAACACATAACACAATTAAGCACAACACACATAGACACATAATTTGGCTACCTTAAATTTAGGCACTTAAAAATAAAATTGGACAAATAAATAAAACAAAAGTACTGTTGACATCATTTTCAGTAAACCGAATTAAGCGACGTTGACCACTTGATTATGTTCAGTAGAAGGATGATCGAAGTCGCATAAAGTAGGTGTTGCCTTTACGGATCTCAAGGTTCTGACGCTAATTTCAAGACAATCACTTGTCGGGTAAAAATTCATCAAGAACCGACATCGTCGTCGATTGACCAATGCCTCATGTCGGTTATGATATGTCGGTTACTACATGTCGTATACGACATATCGGTTATAACTGCTCGAACCGATATCTATGACTCGCTAGACCGACACCACAAGGCGGTGCCAACTCAGCACAACTCATCATTACACCTGGCCAAGTGGTACGTTATTAAGATGAATGGCAATTAGCCGTCGTTGACTATTCTTGTGTAATGATTACGTATTAGATAAATGTTGTAAATAAATATAAAAGGAGAAAACAGTTCTCCAATCAGCGAAGAGACAGGCATACACAATAATATTCAGAAAAGTTCCATCTCCTTTCACTGATCATATAAGCTTTTGTCGATTTATTTTATGTTTACTACAAAATCCCTGTCGATTACATAGTTGTTAATTTTCATTTGACAACAGTTTGGCGCTAGAAGGAGGGCAATCACGTTTTGAAGTTAACTTTCACCGTTAAAGCCATTTTGACGCTCGGAGCCATCATGTCATAGTCTGGTCGAGACCACACAACTCATCCTGGCCAGAGTCAATCGACTAACCATTCTCCCCGGCGAGCGACACCACCTCCTCCGGTCACGAACATCACGAACTTTCTTCAAAACCCAGAGTTTATTCAAGGTTTAACCTCGTTGATAGCTCGAGCCATGCCCAGAAGCTCGAATACGGTACCACTATCGATGCTGTTAACCACTAATCTGACAGAACATCCAACCCACACTCGTCATGACCCTAAAACGCATGCGGCAACATCCCATGCTACGTCACAACCTCATCATGCTTCTCCACATCGAGAAGAGTTAACTTGTGTAACTGCTAACCCAATAACGAACAATCAAGCCCCGGAGGAGCCCCCTGTACAGGAAATGACTGCCGAAAGCCACTCTGCTCATCACCAAAGAATTTCGCCACGTCCTAGACCCGTTTCATCAGCGCCTCACGCTCGTGAAGATTTGCGACGCCAGATTGAACGGAATCGTCTTTCAAGACATAGCGCGGAAGAAATTGAAACTCTTCGTAAACGCCTGGCTGAACTCGAGACTCGACAGAAGTCGCAGGAAGACTCTCCTCGGCATGTCACGACGTCGGGAAATGTCATTATTGAAGCAGATTCCCCTTTAGCTCCGGAACTTACCGCGGAGGCACTCCCAGCTAAGGTAAAAATTCCACAAATTGGCATGTATGATGGGACATCGGATCCGGATGCACACTTGGGCCATTATACGTCGTGGATGGATCTACATGGTGCCTCAGACGCCTTGAGATGTCGGATGTTTTCGCTTACACTGGGGCCACGAGCACAAAAATGGTATTATACTCTCCCACCCCATTCAATTTGGAAGTGGCAACAGTTACGCGCGGCCTTTCGATCACACTTTATCGGAGCTCAAATTTGTCTCATCCCAGAAGAATCAATTACCAACATCGTGCAAAAGGATGACGAGACTGTTAAGGACTACGTGTCTCGGTTCAATGACCGAATTCAGAACATGGAGCCTTGTCACCCTGAAACCTTGTCATTGCTGGACTGAAGCCCAACTCAATGTTTCGCTGGACCTTGTGCCAAAATGAACCTGCTACGTTTCAAGAATTTCTTGGAGCTCAACAATTTATTATTGCCGAAGAATCGATGTCGGTTCTCAGTTTCGACTTCTCGGTGAAAGATAGCAAGACTGAACCGGATGCCAAAAAGAAGAATAAGAAAAATTTTGGGAAAGCACAGTTTCGGAACTTCTCCAAAGGATATGAGAATACTCGAGAGTCTCGGGCTGCTCGTGATCAGTATTTAGATAATGTTAGGACAGGCTATTAGGCCGTCTATTCCGCCGGAGCAGCCACCATATATGAAGAACTGAAAGGAAAAGGGATATACCAGACCCGAGGCCTGTGAGAACCCCTGAAGACAAGCTGGATAAAACTCGATACTGCGCGTATCAAAAGTCTCCGGGACATAATACCGATGAGTGTCTCGGCCTTTTGTCAGCACTCTTACGGTTAATTGGACAACCTCAGCTTCAAAAGTTTCGAAATTTTGATAACCGCCGGAAAGGAAGACCCTTGGACCTTTCAGATGATGAAGATGATGATAACCGACCGGTTAACCAGAAAAGAGCTCGCGCAAACGATAAGGAAGTCTTCACGTTTTCTACTCATGTCGGAACCTCGACTGATAACTGCAGGAAATCCATAACACGTGACGCTTTAGACTCTTCACACTGTATACCTCGAGTTAATTCCAATAACAAACAGCTGGATACGTCTCGACGGAAAGTCAAAGCCTATGCTCGGGAGGCACAAAACGTCGAGAAACGAGTCATGAATGTTGATCTTCGAGATACCATCAACAAACGGAATTGTCCCATCACGTTCAGTATCGAAGATGCCAATTTATTTGCTCATCCTCATTCCGACGCCCTTATTATAACAGCCCCGATTGGAGGGATTCCTGTTCATCGGATTCTAGTCGACTTAGGAGCTTACTCAAGTATTTTGATGCTCCGCACGTTCAAAAAATTGGGTTTGGACCCAACAAACATTAGGCCTTGCAACGACCAAATTCAAGGTTTCAATTGAAGCATTTCTTGCCCTGTCGGCGAAATACTGCTCCCTATTCGGTTTGGTGGCTTTGGACCAAAATCCAAGATCATTATGGAAACTTTCAAAGTCTTGGATGTTCAGAACGAATATAATGCTGTAATAGGACGAACTACACTCTACAAACTTCGTGCTGCTATGTCAATTTTTCATTATGCCCTAAAGTTCCCCACCATTGAAGGGGAAGGCACTCATTACGGAGATCAACGAGAAGCCCGAAGTCTGATGTTGCTCTCAACCTCGCGTACCTTTCATATGATTGAAGAGCAGGATGCTGATAACTCCATTGAGCTGAACAATTCAACTTTTTAATGCAGAAAGAACTGATCAGTTCATTCCGGATACCGACATGCCTCGAGCAGATACCGACATGCCTCTTACGGACACCGATATCCCTATGACGTCGGTTTTTCCTGAAACATTAACTGGAGTCCTTGATCAAGAGCAACCTTTTCATGAGAGAGACATAGAAATGCACGAAGATATGGATCCACGGATGCAGTTCAAGGATGGAAATCATCATGTCTGAGCGGAACCAGTTGAAGATGTCGAAACCATTTATGTGGATGGATCGACTCAGCAAAAATCACTACGGATTGGAGCTAACCTTCAAGAACCCATTCGATCAAGCTTAATTCAATTCCTTCAGTCAAACTCCGATGTGTTCTCTTGGAAGCATGAAGACATGAAAGGAATTGATCCGCAGAAAGCGTGTCATCGTTTGAATTTAGATAAAACTGTCAAGCCCGTTATCCAGAAACGTCAGAAATTCGGCCCAGATCGCCAGAAGGCCCTTGAAGAGGAAGTAAACAAGCTCATAGACAATAAGTTCGTCAAAGAAGCAAAATACCCGACGTGGATATTGAACCTTGTCTTGGTCAAGAAAGACACCGGCCTTTGGCGTCTATGCATAGATTTTTCAGATTTGAATCAAGCGTGCCCGAAAGATAGCTACCCCATTCCACACATTGATTACATGGTAGATGCAACATCGGGACATCAACTTATGAGTTTCTTGGATGCCTATTCCGGCTATAATCAAATTCCCATGCACCCTGATGACGCTGAACATACCTCGTTCTACTCAGCTCGAGGCCTTTATTGTTATGTCATGATGACTTTTGGATTGAAGAATGCAGGGGCCACGTACCAAAGGTTGGTCAACAAGATGTTTGCTCGTTTGATCGGCCACACAATGGAAGTTTACGTGGACGACATGTTAGTGAAATCAGAACAGGCCTCTGATCACATCGCCCATCTTTCTGAGGTCTTTGATATTCTTCGAGAGTATTCTATGGTGCTTAATCCCAAGAAGTGTACTTTTGGAGTTGGATCGGGGAAGTTTTTAGGATACATGGTGAGTCAGAGAGGGATCGAGGCCAATCTCGCCAAGATTCAAGCCATACTTGACCTGGCTCCCCCGACATCTATTAAGGGTGTTCAAGCTTTAACCGGTTGACTGGCAGCTCTAAATCGATTCATTTCAAAGTCGACGGATCATTGCAAGCCGTTCTTTGACGCTTACAAAAAGAAAAAGCCGTTCGAATGGACCGCGGAATGTCAGAATGCTTTTGACAACATCAAAGAAGTTCTTTCACGGTTACCGACATTGCAGAAGCCACTTCCTGATGAGCCTCTGTATTTGTACCTTGGTGTAAGTGACGTTGCTTTTAGTGCTGTTCTTATACGACAAGACGGGCTTCAACAGTTCCCTATATATTACGTTAGCAAGGATCTGCATGACGCTGAATTGCGATATCCATATATGGAGAAGTTAGCCTTTGCTCTGATCATCGCTGCACGGAAGTTGCTACCGTATTTTCTGGAAAATTCGATTATCGTGTTTACAACATATCCTCTCCGACAAGTCCTTCACCGACCTGACACGTCGGGAAGAATGATTAAGTGGGCGATAGAACTGGGACAGTTTGATATTCAGTACCGTCCACGAACTGCTATTAAAGCTCAGGTGTTGTCTGATTTCATTGCTGAATTTACTCCGCCCATTCCGACAGGTTTCGCCTTCGACTTCAAGAAGCCATCTCATCGTCGACTTCTTCCCCGAGCAGCAACATCCCGTCTGGAATGAGCCGACCACGCGGGTCGGGACCAGATTCTCGACGAGACAACACTTGACCGATAGTGGTCATGTACAGCGGCTGAGGGCTGGCTTTACTGTGACCAAGATAAGAGCCGGTAGCGAGCCAAATCTTGCCGGTTCTGGGATTCGAGAACCGAAACCCTCGACCGAAACTCTTTTCAGACCTAAAATCCAAGCTTTTCGTCCCTTACCTTTTTCCGAAGAGAGGTACTGCAGCCAACCGAGATTCTTTTCTTTTATGTTCTTGTGGCTGAGATTTTGTTGAGTCAAGAACATGAGTTAGCATGCTTAATGAATTGTTTTGCGGCATGTTTATTTGAATTATTTGCCTGAGACTGCTTGTATATCTTTTATGCTCAAATTTGAAGAAAATGGGAGTGTGTATATGCATTTTTGCCTTGAAGGATTGAAACCATGTGCAATATTATGCCGAAATGTGATACTGTAATGCTGAGATTTAAGGATTAAGAGAGCATAGAAATTCATAATTATGCCTTGTTAATTTGTGATTTGTTGGACCTTAATTGTGGGTTATATGCTGAGGTTAGTGTGCAGTTAAGAAATTTAATGTCCGATTTAGATGCTTGTTCAAGGCTGAGAAATTTTGAGAGATGCATGTTTATTTGATTTGGTAGTTTGTTGAGTTTTTTAC